ATTAAAGTGTAGTTCGAAGGTTGGTGGCCACGATCGCGGCCGATATCCATACTTCCCCAACCAGCTGAACAGTGGCACCTCGATATCGACCAAGTCGGAGGTCAGAGGCACGTCCAGGTTCACGTCCGGCTTTCCTGCCAAGCAACATCTGTTGAGAGCCTCTAAACTTACAGTAGGCTGCACGCGCGGATCAAGGAAAACCCTGGCTTGCAATCGACGGGCCTTGGTTGAAATTATCCGGCCCGATGTCCCGGGACGTGCCATCTAAGCCGCCGAAGATCCTTGGACCGAACTGTAAGACTGTCAACCGAAAACTGCTATCGCGCTGCATGCCACCTCCGCGCCCCAAGGATGTACGCAGGCACGAGCAGAGAACGGCCCTCGCTGGCCAGCGGCGAGGCCTGCAGCAATTGAGACTCCAAAAACCGCACTAAAACCACATCAAGTTTGGAACATTCTCATTCTCTTTGTTGGATGGCACGTTGCTGCCGGCCGTTGCCCAAAACCTCAGGCTTTAGGCCTTGACTTATCTTGAATCGTGCTCAAGTGTGTAGTGCTTCCTGCTCCGAAAGTGTGTCGTGGTCCAGCGCACAAGCAACTGGAAGTGCAGCGCCTTCTCAGACAAGAAGAAGCTGAGAATCTGGGCGAGCGGCTGGCACTGCTTGAAAGAGGGGACCGAGACTTTCGCCAATCCAAGCAAGTTTGAAGTAACTGCAGTAGCCACAGCAGCGGAGATAAGTGTCGACACATTTCACAGATTACCGGCCATTCGCAAGGAACAGTGGACCATCTTAATCTGCAGTGACGGCTGGATACGAATACTCCACAAACTGACGTGCGAGATGTAGAGTGCACAGGGAGCAGCTGAGGGATTGGCCATCACTTCCTGAGCGTCGCATTAGTGCATTAGCTGCGCGTGCGAAGCTGCAAGAGAGCTTACCTATCTGCGATCCACAGGGACGGCCATGCCACTCGATCTATCCACATAAAACCATGCAATGTCTTGATGAACAGCCCCCGATGCAAGACCAGATGCTGGCATGGTGGTCATCAACCTCTCATCTTGTCCTCCGTCGATGCTGCCACACCCTGCCAGACTCCAGCATCGAGCTCAGATGTAAGCAGATTCAGATGACAAGCTGCGGCACTTGCCAACATCCAAGGCCAGGCATGGAGGGTTAGGGCAAGGAGCTGCGCAGTACTTTTTGCAACCTTGAGCTCTAAATCTCTTCAGGTTCGGCTAACATCGCGGGCACCAGTTTCTTAATTTTTAAAGTTTATGATGTTATCTGCACACTGTACAATGGTGACCAGTTTTTGCCGGGAACTTGAACGAGGGAAGGCACCTTCCTGAAGTGCCACATGAGCTGTCCAATCGACGTTCAGTCGAAACTAAAAGGCAACAGAATGAGTTCGGTCATCTATACGTCAGAGGAGGAATCATCGGAAAAGAACTTGTGCATCCTGGCCGTCCTAACCATCCGCTTAGGCATTGATGGCTTCGCCTTGGACTTCGAGCTCACCTGAGCTGCTCTTGCTCGTACTGCTCTCCTGTACTTGAAGAGTGACCTCTGCTTCCTGGCATTTGCAACCTTGTTGGCTCGAGTCCTTCTGGCAACAGCGTGTTGGGTGCCGTTCCTGGCCACCTCTCCGCGGTCATCTTTCGCGAAGTACACATCGCAGGTGCGGTCGGTCTTTCTCCATTGCTGCCGTTCCGCAACCCGGCGGGCGTTTATGTATTGCTGGCTTGATTGGACATGGGCTTTCAACAATTGAAAGGCAGCGACCAGCTGTCCTTTGGTGAGCAAGCTGTCGTGGGGCACCACAGTCGCCGACAGGACCGCAGTTACACCTGTTTTCTGCACGTCCAGGTAAAACCAAAAGCCGGCCGGACTCAGCTGCTCATCCAGGATGCGCTCCAACTGCTCCTGCATGGACTGAATCCTCGAACCCTTTGGGCCGATAAAGTCAGCAATGGCCCGATTCGTCGGCAGTGACCCGAGAGTGGCAGATGCTGCGCCCAGTGTGCCTGTGGGGAGGCCGTCGTCGATGCGAAGAGCGTGTGAAACTTTATTGTAGACAACACTGTGCGGGATGCAGTGCTTGAGCTGCGCCAGGGCGGTTCGAATCTGATCTTCTCCGAACGAGGTCTCGGCGGCTTCCACGGTCGCTTCCAAGACGCGCTGTCGCACATCGAGCCAAAAGCGGAAGTAGCCCTTATCCAGCTCTTGGCAAAGGCGGTCCTGGAGTGTCTTCCTCAGCTCTTGGATCCTCTGCCCCTCTTTGCCGATTAGCGCTGCCTCCACAACACGGCACGGCAGTCCGGCCAACTTCACCGTCACCTGCCTCTGCTGCTTGCGCAGCTTGCGCTGCTCTGGCGTTGGGGCCTGGGCCTCTGCCGGGGCTTCTGCAGGCTGCGCAGGCTGTGCGGGCTCTGCCTGAGCCTCTGCAGCGAAGGTGAAGGTGCCCTGAGCGGGGCCTGCCAGCAGCTCCTCGGCCTCCGCTGGATCGGCGATGCGCACCTTTCCGCAGAGAGGGTTCTCCAGCGCCTTGCTGAAGGCTGCCAAAGGATCCGGCCCGGACTCGGTGACCATCTTCAGCATGCGTGACGAGAAGCCGGACATTAGCACAACGCCTGCATCGGTGGCAAGGGCTGGTGCACCAGACGTTGCTCGAAGATTCCAAAAGACCAGCTCAGGCATGGTCCGGCCGGTCTGCCGATAGTTGTTCTGAATCTGCCTCAGCACTGTGGTGTTGCCACCGGCATTGGCGAACTGCATGTCAGAGAAGACTAGGATTTTCTTGGGTGGTTTGGGAATCTTCTCCAAGAGCTGGAAAACTCGGTGAAAGTTGGTGCTCCCACCCCAGTCTAGCCGTCTCACGAAGTCCACCAACTCGCACAGGTCCGAAGTGTCGGGCAATTTAACAATGGACGGTCGCTCGTGGAACGTGATCACTTGACGTGCCAGGGGCCCGGAAGAAAGCTCCGCCACTAGCAAGGACAGCGCGATGGCCACATCCATGCAGCTGACATTTGGGGCGGCCTCGCAGGACATAGAGCCCGACACGTCGCACACAGCGATGCAATCCTGCAGTTGGCCAGCTTCGCGGATTCGCTCCAGCATGGCCTGCCATTGTCCTTGCGCCAAGGCCTTATCATCGGCCCGCTGCACACGCTTCAGGATCTCGTGCGGCTGCAAAGCTCCGGTGTTCACCCGGACCTTTCCGCCCTCGACCTTGTCCATAAACTCCTTGAATCTGACGGAGTCGTGCTTCTCGAAGCTCTTGGCATGCTTGGTCAGGCAAGCCGCCGGAAGCGACTTGTACCGGATCTCAGCCCATCGATGCTGGCAGATCAGCCTCTCTGGGAGCTTCATGTACTCGGTGAGCTCAGAGAGCCGCTTCCTCAGCAGATCGCGAGCTCTGTAGGCATACTGTCGTTCGCTGCAACCTGCAAACTCCGGCAAGGTCGCCGGGAAGAGCCAACGGGCGATACCTTCACAGAGGAGGGTGCGGCGATCGAAGGAATGGTACAGCAGAGGGCACCACTTCGCGCAGAGGCTCACCCTCTGACCTCGGCGCATGGCCGCAAAGTCCTGGCGCAGCTGCTCTGCAAAGAGTCGTGCGATGCGTTCGAAGAGCGATCGGTAGACCGGATCACTGTCGTAGCGCTTCCTCGCAGGCTTCCATAATTACTAAGCAGCACTAGGTTTTGCCAGATCTTCCCCGAACCGTTAAAGAGCATACCAAAAGCATGCCACTAACACGAGAAAGTCACGGCACCATCGTCACACGCAAACGGGCCTAAATTGCTGGAAGGTCGCAACTAGTTGCCATCTGTATTATTCCAGCAGACCAGGAGAATACAAAAAGACAAGGAGGAGACGAGGAAACCACGAAAAGACCACCGTGAGACCGGTTTGAGACCAGCAGGAAAGAACGAGGAGACCAACAGGACACTGCCAAAATGCTTTCCTCCAAGTACTGGCATATTCAGAACCACACCAGGATTGCTTTCACTCAAGTACTGCCTGGATTCGGAAACATTCGAGAACACAGTAGAATCGCTTTCCCCCAAGACCTGGCGGCTCCAGGACCAGCTCGAAAATGTCACTGATTTCGAGATGCGGCATTCGATTTCTTCTGGCACTGCTGAGATGCAAAGAATTTCGAGAGCCCAAGGTAGTGCATGTGAGAATATCTACGCTGAATCCCAGCATCTGATGTAAGAAACGGACACGGCGAATGATTTTTCGCTGCCCGCTGTCGGGGGTCGCGTGGAGACAGCAATCAAACCGTCTGAACCCATGAACGTAAGAACCGGGTAGTGTTACTACTCTGCTTGGGGAAATAAAACGCAAGACCGCCGAAAGTACTCTGTACTTGGCCGAGTTTCAGCGCTTCCTCTGCCATCTGCAGGCGAGAACCGGGCCGGAAGTTGCCTTCCCCCTCGATGCCGGCATCTTCCATCCGATACCTTGCGGCTTGAGACAAAAAGACTTCTGGGACTTCCAACATGAGCACCATCTGCTCTCAACCTTGATTAGACGAATACTTGCTCGTCAACGAAGGCATGTCCACTATTCTCAGGCCGGTTACGTGCTGCCGGGTGGCTTGTGGTCCTCTGGCTCTTTCTGGCAGCGCTTGTAGTGCGAATGCAGGGCCAAGTCTCGCTGCAAGCTGCGCACCGGGCCTTCGCAGATGCGCGCCAGTATCTCCAGCAAGCCCTTCCAGTAGTTGCACTCAGGCACCAGGTGCAAGTTGGCCAGCAGGGTATGGGGGTCCTTGTGCCAAAGCCACATCATGGCATCGTAGAACGAATACCTGTCCTGCTTGCCCTCCCGGGATCCGAGAAGGAACATCTGTTTCAGACAAACCTCTGGACTCTCCGCCCAAGCCTTGTCTAGCAGCCCCTTCAACTGTTGGTTCTCCTTCGGCCTTCCTTGTGGAACCGACTGGAAGAAGAGGTCCAAGTTTGCGGAACCTGTGTCCTGAAACATCTTGCCTCCCACTTCCGTATCAATCAGCGGCCTCTCGCTTTCAATGAAAGACATGATGTGCTGCACCACGTCCCGACGACCCACACATGGCCAAAGCATCTCGCTGCAAGCCTCCTTCACGAGGCATCGAAGCCGTGCTCTCAGCACGGCATCTACGGAAACCCGCTTCGCGGACTTGGGGACTTTCGACCGACTTTGATGTGCCAGCCCCTGGCGGTTTCGCGCGAGGCCACGAAGCTCGCTGGGTCCACAAAGGCCCAAAACCAGGCTGTCCTCCCCCTGCACCTGCACCTGCAGTGGGCACTGCATACCCGGGTCCAGGCTCTGCGAGCTAGCTGGCGCACGCTGACGCTTTGGTGGCATCTTCGGTCGGCTTGCAAGACTTTTCAAACTCATCATCACCTGTTGCGGCTTCGAGCCAACAGCATTTTCCAAAGCCTTCCTTCCAAGGCACACAAGCCACAGATAGCCACCGCATGTCACATGCCACTCTACACAAACACTCACATACACACGTATTCCACAAACACACACACACACACAAACACAAACACAAACACACACACACACACACATGTATATATACGCCTTCAGCGATAAAAGCCTCCAGTTACTCTGCAAGTCCGATGGCGTGCCTTTGTGCGCAAGGATGTACCCACCGATCCAGGCTGCGGTGATGTCCTGGCAAGGCCCGAGAGTTCTTGCATGGGGCAGCTTTTCCGCACCCTGCATCATATACAAATCGGAATCAAGCATCGCAAACGCCAGAAAGCTCTGGCCTATGGTCTATGAGTATGAGGATCGAAAAAATTCGGCCAAGCATCCACAATCACCTGCCCTTTCAGGGAATTGCCAGCTCGCATGAAGTCCTCAGAATAGGTGCAGCGGCGTAGAACTCAGGAGCATGTCATTTCAGAGACCCACCCACAACTCAGTGGCAACAAACCTTGCGAATAGCCACCTCCCCTTCTCTTGGACACCCCCAAATAATAAAATCACTTCAACGACCCCGCCTTTAAATCTTGAATTATGGCAAAAGCAAGAGCAGGAGCAAACAGCAAGAGCCGGAGCAAGGGCAAATGCAGGATCCAGAGCAGGAGAAGGGGAGGAGAAAGAGCAATGGCAGGAGCAAGAGCAAGAGCCGCTGCAGGAGGTGGAAGAGCCAGAATGACAATGAAGCTTGATATTGAAAACGTTGTTCGGGTTGTCATTGGGAGGGAGCGTTTAACAGTGGAGGAAACGATTGCATTGTAGTAGGTGCCAGTCCACCGCACAATTCCGAGACAACCGCACGTCAGAAGGCACCGTTTCAAGGAGACCACGCAAAGTCATCTGCAACACATCCCCCGCCCCTGAGCTTCGGCTACTCGGCTTGGCACTGCGCCGGACATGGCTCCAATTGAACAGTGTCCGAAGCTGACGTGAATCGAAGCAATTTGTGTGACCCGTGGTATCGCCTGTTCCTTCGATCTGTAGCCACAGGCCCGGCATCGGGCAGCACATTGGTAGTTGACAAGCCCAGCTTTCTCTCTGGCCTGGGGCCAAATGAAAATATCATACCCTGAACTAAGTGACGCAACCTTGCAGCTTTGGGAGGTGGCCCGACTGGTAACTGGAGGCCTTTCCAATTCTTGTTCACCACGCGGGTGATGCTGAGTACGGTGTCGCTCCTTGTTGAGCTGTCTCACCTCCTTGGGCCTTTAATATTTGCCGCCGGCATCGTCGCCTCCTTCCTTCCATTGCCTCGGCCCTCATGCCAGTGCTCGTTGTGCTTATGCTCGGGGCCATTCGGGAAGGAGGGCCCTCAAGACTATAGGGACTGCTCTTCTCAGCTTTCACATGCTTTCAGGAGGAAACTCGGCTCCTGATGTATCAATCTCCCCCGCTCCACCCACTGCCCCCCCCCCAAAAAAAAAACATAAATCTCTTGAACAATTCGGTGTACACACCCCATCTCCTCTACTCACACCCCAAACACATGGGCTTAGGGGGTTAAGGTTTAGGGTTTAAAGCCCCACTCCGCGACCTTTCCTGACTTCACAGCCAAAGAGCGATGTTACAGTATGGTGCGACCAATCATTGCTCGAAATCCAGTGGCACACAGCGCACATACCCTGACCCCATCTTGCCCACTACCGAGCGTCCACTGGCGTCGAAGAGGTCGGCTGGCACGCTGCTTCTGGTGTCGCCGAGATAGAGTCCGAGATAGGAGGATTCCCATCCGACCCATCACCTCGAAGAACTGCATGGAAACGAAGGCGTTCCAAACAGGAAGGGCTGCTCTGCAGAAATCGGACAGAGAAACTTGGAAACAGCACTCTCAGCGAATTATTTGCAGGTGAATCACCACGCCTTCCTCAAGCTAAGTGCTTGTACACCGAAGTCCAACAATGACAAAGTAATTCACAATTGCTTGAACATGTGAGTGCATGTGCCAGTCTGTATTGGTGTGTGCGTATGAATGTGCAGCTGCAGGGTTGGATAGATACACTACAGATGCTTCCGCATGCTTCTGCGTGGGCAAGCAGCTCTGTCTGCTGGCCGGGCAGCGAAATCTGCAGGTACGCAAGGGTGCAGCACTGAGAGGTGCGTCCTGGGTGGCGTCTAATTACAGCCGGCTTCAGAGCAGAGACGGAGACACCAAAGATTACACATGGCTTGCCTGCGGAATGTAATTTTCACATTGCCCCCAGCCTACCGCAAGAGCCCCAATCCACTTAGCCCAAAGCCCAAAGCCTATGATTTCTCCACAGGATGTCTGAGTTCTTCGAGGCTCCGAGTCCAGGAGGGACGGCGCCTTGGTGAGGTCGTCGGTACTCTTGGCTACCACGAGAACCGGACCTCTCAGGGCTTGAGCAGGCGTTTCCGGATTTTTGAGGCTCAATTCTCAAAGCTTTGTGTCTGGTGGTGCAGGGACGGTAGGTGGGACAGGTAGGAAGGCTTCGATGTTTGCACGCTCAAGAGATGAAGGGTTCGTAGATTAGGGGTCATGGTTTCGATGCCTCTCCATCCACAGTATGGTGTGAGGAGCAGCGCTGCCTCTCAGCAGTGCCCAATGCAAAATCATCCCATGCAGCCCACGGAATCTTCCTGAAAAATGCTGATACTGCTCGCGCTCTCAGCACCAAAGCCTTGTGCTCCATCCTTCAGCGTGGGGTCCACGCTGCACGCAGCCAACAGACCGAGGAGCGCCCGCTTAAAGCCCGCCTCACAACACCGGGGAGGTCCAATGGGCTTCTGGCATTTGGAAGAGCCTCGTTGCAGTTGCCATCGCTGGTAGCCTCTTGAGATCTTGAAGACTACAGCAAGCTGCCTCTGCTGACAGCAAGGTACAGTCACGTGCTGCAGCGACAGTACCGCAGCCGCCTTGCTTGGATGTGGGTGGGTGCATGAGTGCGCAGGTGGAGGCGCATGCGCGCGCGCGTCAGCGCGCGCGCGTGCTGTGAGCGCATGGGGGTTCACAATCATACCTTGCTCGTGCATTCTCGGCTCCGTCGTCTGTTGTTGTGCTATAAGCACCTGGCTTAGTTGGCCTCGTCCCCGGTCGAAGCATTTAGAGGTTCGTTCCCACAGAGGCCTGTTTCCCCTCCCGAGGCTATCCCACTCCCTCCCTCCGTGAACTCATGGACCCCGCAAGACACAGTTGTACACTTTCATGTCCACTGGATTTCGCGCATTCGTAGGCAATCCAACACATAATTCTTTCCCCCCCCTTTGGGCTGCTTCCCCGCCTCCCGTCCTGCTGTCTCCGTCCCTTTTTTTGTCTGTGCGGCCCGACGGCGTCTTTCGGACGATGTGGTGCTGACAAAGACGATGATGCCGTTGTGCATATACTGGATTACTGGATGCTTCTTGCCGCGTCGTCTAGTAATCTGCGGTAACCAGCCTGGTAGAGATCGCTGTCGCCTTGACTGCCAAGACTCAGTGGCTAGATAGCGGCTACTTGGGATGCGCAGATGTTGTCCTGTCTTGCCGTTTGCATCCACAAATGCACCAGATCTGCATCCTGCCAAGACACACTTTGTCGGAGGGATCAGTCGACTCAGGCCGCTGTCGTAGTTGGACGCCTAGCAGACTTCAGCTTAAGGCAACGGCAAGCCGCGATGACTACTGAAAATGACATAAACAAACGAGGAGTGCAAGCACCAACACGAAATAACACGAACAGACTCAGGCGTAGCAGCCGCTGTGAAGACATGAAGCTTTGCTCGATACATCTGGAACTGTTTCGAAGCGGTACTCGATGCCACAGCAGAACACGTACAGCACAAAGTGCCAAATCGAAGGTTCCAAAGCGCGTGCCTGGTTGCCGGCAGCCACGAGCGCAGCAATATAGCAGACCTCCGCAGTGAGAAACAAGCATCCTGCATGCATGCACGTCTTCCATGGGAAGCAAGATGCCATTCTCCAACCGACGAGACTTCATGGCAAGCCTGTCGGCCCATCCTCAACTTTGAAGTGCGACCCCCAGGCCCCAAACCCCACACTTCGAATCTCCGACGCATCTCCCAGGAATGTGCAGCTGTGCAGATGCAACGCAAACACCCATTATGCTTTTGATGCTGCCTAAGATCTGATTGTGGTCATGGTTTTGATCATCTTGATGCGGACAGAGGCTGATCACCGCATTAAACAGTACGGGGACGAGGACGGCTTCTACTGCTCAAATCAAGTCAACACCGCCATAATCTTCACGGTCACGCCTTTGTGTTATATGGATGATGCATAGCATCGCCATTGCTTTCATCACCATTCTGCTGTCCTCATGCTGCTGCCTGTCTCCGGCTGTAGACCGCGTACTGGTGCCAGTCCAGCATGTCGCTGTGGGAAGCGCCCGGAGCCCCTCGCGCTGGTCAAGATGCTTGCTTGCTCACGTGTTTGCCGGCACATAGATAAATGATTCCGGGTCAACAAGATAGCAAAACAACACGGAGGCGCTAGTGAAAGATATCAACTCCACAGCAAATTAACCTCTTCGACCTGGGTTAACTTGCTGGGTG